AAAATAAATGATCCTACATAAGGATCCAGACAGCAACTACTGTCCCCGGCTACAGAAAAGACAGTGGAGTTGGAGTAGAGATGAACAACCGTCACAGCAACGAGTGACTTTAGACATAAATGTTCATAGAAAAGGTGAAAAGTGACTTTTTTAAAGACCTTTAAAAATATGAGTACTGTAACTGTAACCATATATAACAAAAATATTAAGATGGGCAGGGTGATGGGTGACCACAGACACAACCACACAAATAATGAAACAAGCTCCGAGTCGTTTGATTTGATTCAGAATTTCAAGTTTTACTCTTTTTACTACTTGATTTTGCTCGTACCAAATTGCTTTCATAAAATTTACTGCAACTAAAGTCTAAATCGTGGACGTTCACCGTGGTCTTTCCTTGGAGCCTGCTGTCGAGGCTAAAACCATCCCAGAATCAACAAGTGCCACGATTAGTAGCAGAACTACAGGTGGAGCTGATAAGATTTGATCTGCAAGGCTATTAAGGTTACTTTTTATCAGGGTTAGCAGGAAAGACACCTGTAAGATTTAGAGGTAGTACGTACTGGGCGAGTCACCTTATCTCAAATCAAATCAAATCAAATCACTTTTATTGTCACATCACATGTGCAGGCACACTGGCACAGCACATGCGAGTGAATCGGCTCCAGAACTGTGCATTATCTATGGATCAGGGATTAGGACTTCTTTTTATCAGAGAACTGAAATCAACTTCCTGGTTTTGTGGGCCTACCAATCGACACCATCCATTGCAATGGAAGATCATTCTCCTATGGATTTACAGAAGGTTTGTGGAAACCTGAATTTCTCTGTGGACTCTGATCTCCAACTCAAAAAGCCTGATTGGTGCAAAGAACTGCGTAATCACAGAACAGCTTCAGGTCTCCAGATCTAGCGGCTAACAGAACAGACATCACGTTTCAGCCACTTCTCTGCTTCTTTTCAGTGAGTTTTTCCTGGGTGGGATAGCGCCAGTGTTGTATAAACTGAGGAGGCTGTGTTCCCATGGAGTGGATTGGTGGCTCAGCTGCAGCTCGCACTTCTATTGGATCCCTGTCAAAATTACAAAGAAAAACAGCCTCATGGGTGCTATTACTGCATCAACAAGCAACTTCTTTTTCATTAACTACCTTGAGGTGTGCTCTACAGGGTTACAGCAGCACTCAACACTCATATTTGACTGATTTTGTAGCTTGATGGAAACCTGCATCCACCGCGTAATGCAGTTTTGATAATGAGCGCAGACTGAACATGCATTAACTCGACAAAAGTGTTTTGCAGGGAATTTTATTGGTAATTATTTTGGTAACGGTGCAAAATGATTATTCTAATGACCACTTTGTGAGCTGTTTAGATGCAGGAGGCGAGACGATTGCTCTTCTTCAGAGTATGCTGTAATTTCAAATTACTGTATATGCACCTGCGTGTGCACCCATGTGCCACAGATAAACACCGGCTCTGTAGACGCTGTTTCCACCGCTATAATTCATCCAAATGTTTCCCCTTGTCACTCAAACCTCTTTCTTATCCCCTACAGATGTGGTAAATTTACTCTCTGTCTGTCACACACACACACACACACACACACACACACACACACACACACACACACACACACACACGCACACATGCACACACTACGTCAGGTCTTACGAATGGGCCGAGGCGCTGCTGGCCCAGCCCATGACTGATTACCATATAGATGAGAGGTTGGGGAGTAAACACAGCCGTCATAACGAGGGTGATAAATGAATCTTGATTGGTTATTAATTACTCAGCCAATTAAGCCCTCCTCCATATTCAGATCAGATGATGGGAAGCTGCAGAGAAATGGATCTCATGATTTTACAAGGAGATGTGATGAAAGTTAAAGGGTCTGATGTGCTGGACAGCACTGGAACATTTCCGAGTATTTAGTAAATGCGTGCTGATGTTTCACTGCGAGGGTTTCATGATGAGTTCTGTTATTTCGTAGTCTTACAGGAAATTTCTCCTTTATTTTCTGAACTGTTGTTGAAAGTGTTTGTCTCGGAGACATGCTGGCGATTCAGGTGATGTCTGCTATGATAAATGTACAAGGAATTGCCTTCCTAGGTGTGTGCATTTGGTAGTCTAAGAAGGTCAAAGTAATGATTTGCATCATTTTGATGTAAATAAATGCTTCTTTTGGTTCACTCTGTCACTGACAGACAGTCGCCACCCAACCCTCACATTTCCAACGGCCAGAGGCACAATCATTTTTATTTCCACTTGGCTGGAGACAAATGATGTCCCCACTGACTAAGAGGATGTCTGGGTGCTTCTCCTGCACATATTTAGTCCCTGGATACCAGCAATTTTAAGCTGTCAAGATTTTACTCCAAGTCGAGTCAACTTTCATGGCAGCTTTCTGCTCCGCAGAAGCATCTGATGAATGTCCGTCCATGTGGAAAGAACGGCGGTGTGCTCTGAGCCCTGAAGAAGAAAGGGGTCCATCACTGTCACGCACGCGGGCATGTACTGTCCTGTAGGTCATACAGTGGTAAGAGAAGAAGTGTTGAACCGGTCTCTGAACCAGATCACGGACAGATATAGACCGAACTCTCTACTTCAAACACCTGAGCGAGCACCAGCCTCCCGTGCAGAAAAAACATGGTCACATAATGCTGGCTTCAAAAGTGAGACAGTCCCAGGACACTCGTGTTAAAATTTCATGATTGAAGTACTTGAAAAAAGGTTTTTAAAAACGTCCTCAAAACATTTTCAGTTTGAGAAACGCTTCGTCACTCATCCAGGTGACTTTGCATTATGACTCAAACTAGCACCGCTGAAGGTAAATGGCTGGGAGGTCAGCTACTTGATCATGAACGTTTCTCCCACTGAAAACGCTGCGTCCAGATGAACAGAATCAACTTTTGTGGATTTACTTACCTGGATTATTGAGCGTGCATCAAGACCTTTTACAAAAGTTGTTTTTAAATAATGCGGAGCCTACAATTAAATGCTGTCCTGCACACGTTCTCAGTCCCAAAGCGTAACATTTTACACTAGGTGACAAATCATCAACACATTACGTTTCCGGCTACCCACCACCTTCCTAAATGACGACCTCGGAAAAATGAGGAAATATGAGCACCGTCCGGACTCAATCTACACATGTTCACTCTTTTCCTTCAAATCGCTTCGAAACTCGCTATTTAACGTCATTAAAGTCCTGGTTAAGGTCAGGAATAAGGTTATGGTTAGGGCTACAATACAGGGCTGGAACGTCTATTACCGCGGGAGCGTCATTCCACTGGATTTCATTCATAACTCGGCGCGTACCATAACAACGCGGAAGGTCTCCTTCCGTGCTCCTCAGGAACGCCGCGGGACGTGACAAAACGTCACCCTGTTACGCCTCGGGAGTGAGAACGGGCTGATATAACATGAGATCTCATCCTGTACCAAATCTCCCCTTGTGGGACAATTAAAGGATTATTCTATTCTATTCTATTCTATTCTGTACATGAGATCTCATCCTGTACTTGGGATCTCGATTCTCCACATTAGATTTCCATCCAGTACAGCAGCGAAAGCCTTTTGCACCAAATCGCCCGGCCAGCATTTGCATTTTGCAGACAAAAAGGCTGAAATGACAGAGATACTGTATGGTTCTGATGTTATCATAGGGTGCATCACTTTGCAGTGGAATTTTTATTTTAGAAGTTATGATCCGAGCACATTCACACCGGCTTAAGTTCATGGACGACATCAACAGTTAGCACGAATGACTCGAGGCCTTCAGGGGTAAAACTCGTTCAGTGTGAACAGGTTTTGTGTGTATAATAGATTCAGCAGATATTCGACTTTATTGTCAGAACTTTCAAGTTCTCATAAAAGTCCTTTCAAAGACTCAGCATACACATCCACACACACACACAGCTGAGCGCAGTGAACCACATCTGTCCTTCACAGCAGTCTGTCTGTCAGAGTCTCTGACTGACTGTCAGGAACCTTCAGAAGCATCAGCTGACGTGTGGACACATCAGCTGACGTGTGGACACATCAGCTGAAGACCTTCAGTCTGCACATTTGTGTCCGTGGCTACTGTTCTTTTTAAAGCAACCTGTCACTAAATCAAAATGTTCTGAACAGAAATCTGTGGAAAGATTTTTTCCCCCAAAAAGCCAATCATGTTGTTACGTTTGTAGTACAGAGGTTTAAATGTGCTGCAGGTAGACCTGTATTCTCTATGTGCTGCATGGCCTTTCCTCTTGATGATCATACTTACACTCTGTACTGAACCATGAATGAAGCCATCGGACAGAATAACATCGGGTACGGGAGGGTTGGGGGATTTTTTTGTGGTAAAGTTTTTCACGTATTTCTCAGTTATTTTGTAACTGGTTATGCTGGCCATGCAGTTAATGCCCCAGTAACAGTAAAGTTAATGTTATGGCTCTCTATGTGATGATGGCCCACAGGTACTGCCAAGATGGCAGCTGAATAACAAACCTGACTTTTGACTGAATGAGGACTTGAGATTTGCACGATCATTTTCCATCCATACTAAACCTGCAGAATCAAACTACAAGTTTGATTCTTGCTTTTCTTAAAATGTGCATTAACTGGAGGCCAATCTCTTTTATTGTTTTTGTGTGAAACGTTTGGATGTGTATTGGCGAATAGACCCACGTTATGGGCAATAACTACATATTACTACTATGTAATAAGTTCGTATCAAACCATGTGTGTTATGCTGTAGTGCTGAGAACCATAAACTGTTAATGGTGGAATTTCAAGTTTTACCATTACCTTCATTTTTTAGTTAGCTGTATATTTCCATTAAAACAGCTCCTGTAAGACAGAATTTCTTGAACAAAGATCTCTGTGTTGGAAAATGCTGAAGTCAAAGTCACTGCACGTTTCCTCCGGCTGCTGAGTCATGGCCACTTTTCACTCTTCACGATCTCCGTGTTTGTTCATCAGTCTTAGTCACTGCTGTTTGTGTTTTCTTTCAGGATGGTACCGAGGGTTCTCGACGAGGAAGCCAAATGTCAAGGTGAGCCAGGCTGACAGCTTTGGTTGTTCAAAGCTTTTCTCTCAGACCAACTTTTGCTCCTGATTTATTCATTTCTATTTATTTGATCAATGCTGAGAAAATTGCTGTTTATTTAGCTGCTGTCTGTAACTGCATGTGACGCAAACTTATGCAAATAAATACCAGATACATTTTTTCTGTTCATTTCTCCTTTTCAACATTTACTTTTCAGAATTTAAACTTCACTCTGGTAGATCGTGTTAGACACTCTGAAGATATATACTGATGAAGCTAATGTAACAAAATGCATAATTGATGAGAGTAGAGAGGTGAAATTATGGGAAACAAAGAGGTAAAAGTCGTGAGATGCTTTTATGGTTGGCACAGCTGCTGGTAATGTATTGAACTCACGTCTCACTCTCACCAGAACTCATATAGTGTAACGTGGAGATGAAGCCAGCCGCAGTGGTGTGCAGCTGGATAGCGAATGAGCGACTTCTAACTTTCCACAAGTACTCATTTATTTTAAATATCAAAAAAATAAAAGTGCCAGCTCTACTACACGTTACTTGCGTACATAGGGAAGAATCCATTACAGAGACGCTACACAGTGAAGAAGAACAAAAAGGGCGTGACCTGCCAGTCACGAGTCAAGAGACGCCACCATGTGGTGCTACACTGCATTGCAACAGCAACTGTTATAATAGCCTACACTTGGGTGGGCTGCATAAGTTTTTAAATATCTGATTAAATACACTTGGCTACTCATTTCTTTTCTTAAACATTAAACTATGGAGCCAGAAGCACAAAGCCATCTGTAGTAGATCTGCTAGTAGACTGAACCGTCTCTTACTTTGAAATTTCCGACAGTGCTAACTCCGCCTCTCCAGAAATCTGAGGCATGTTCTTATTCTACCAAGAACTTTTGTTTGCTGATCGCCATGGCATCAATCTCTGCTTCTGTCAGGCTTTCCATACAAACCTAATCTAACAACAAACATCTGTTTCACAAAGCAGGCAAGAAGAGTAACTTTGAGCAGCACTTACTATTAGACATGTTTTTCTTTTGAAACACATTTGATTGAAGGATTGTGTCTCATCCTTGGCTGCTGTACTCAGATGTTTAATCTCTAACCTTTGCTCTGACAGAGTGCTACTCTGGCTCTACTTTAAATTATCCTGCTAAAGGTCGCTAATATAACAGCTAGCTGCTGGTTGGACAGACCTTTGCTCATCTGTAGTACCTTCCTGCACTGAGAATATAAAGCCAACATGGCTACGGGACATTTTTTTTAGCTGAAACTTGTAACACCTGGTAGTTGGTTCAGACTGGGGTTGGATCACATTCACACCATAAATGAAGCGCCTCCTCCAAAGGGTCCCGGTGCAGTCCTTTGGGTCTCCCTCGATTACTGTGTTCATATCTGCACACATCAACCACACCGAGGGGGAAAATGGACCAGAGTTCAATTTAAACGGACTAAACACTGCAGGTGGGAAAACACCCGTAGTACTACTTAGTTTAAGTTTCTTTGTGGTAACTTTTAGGTTTCTTCAAATTTTTTGAAAACAAAAATCTAAACTGCTGGCAGGCATTCTTTGAAACTAGGACAAAGATTGTGTGTCAATATTTTGTCCTATCAATACAAAGTGTTTCTTTCTGATCCAGCATCACATTACAGGAATGTGTTCGTTGCAGCCAGACTCCACAGAGACAGCGTTTTATCAGAACATGTATGAAGACCATGACAGCATGCTGTACGGGGAATTTCACCGCATGTCTGCAGAGAAAGTGATTCAGTGTTTTCACCCATTCATCTCACAAATATCTGACAGAGCAAACTCACCTAATTGACCCTGCTGCCCACACAAGAAGCCTTACAGCTTAAGCTTTATTTGTGCCATTCACTGGTATATACAACTCAAAGCATGCTGTTCTACTTTAAGTCTGTTTACTCGCCTCTCGAGCACTTCTGTAACACAACTGACCTGCAGCCATGTTCGAAACTCTGAGGAACACCAGAGCTGCTGCTGCTGCTCCAGCTAAAGGCTGTGTTAAGACTCAAGGCAACCACAGACAGATAAACCACACCTGAAAAGCTCTCCTCCTAACAGGTTTGTTTGTCAGAGAGAAGAAGTCACAAACAACTAAGGATCTGGCTGAGATTAAGAAAAACATTTACCCGCATAGATCATTGGGAAAAAGATGTCAGTTTCCAAGTGAGAATAAAGATTTGGCTCTGGAGCGATGGATAAAGGTCAGGAGGTCTGAGTCCAGACTGACCCTGTAGCTGCATCAGCCAAGAAGAGAAGTAGATGAAGTGATGCACCCATCATGCCCAGTTAGTGCCCGTTGTACAAGCCTGTGTGAGTGTTATGATGTGAGGTTGCTTCAGTTGGTCAAGTCCAGGTTCAGGATATCAGCCGACCACCTAAATGTACTCAGTTACAGCATTTTCTGCTGAACCCCTGAGAATCTGTGGATGTGTTAGTGAAGACTTTTCATCGCGGTCAAACTGTCACATCTGTAAAATTTAACAAAGTTCTGGACAGAAACGAATGTTATGACCTTCTATGAGCTTGTTACATTATTACATTTATGCCAAATGCTCAATGTCATCAAAGCTAAAGGCAGTCCAGTGAAGCGCGCGCGCGCGCGCGTGTGTGTGTGTGTGTGTGTGTGTGTGTGTGTGTGTCTTTGCTGTTTTTCATGGCTGGCTTTTTACTGCAACGTGACACTTTGAAGAGCAAGAATTGTTTTCTACCAGAACAAAACATGATTTTGTTCTGGTAGAGCCACAGATTTATTTTATCTTCCAGAAAAACGTCATCAGTTTCTGTAACATTCAGTCAGTGCTTGTTGCTGGCTCATGTTGAACGAGCAGCTTTCAATATAATGCTGCGTTCATGCTGTTACCTGAGAGCTTTGTGAGGTAATTTCTCTGCAAAATGAACGTGAGTCCGTAGAGATTATGTATCTTTTTGAGGATATCTATTTAAAAATAAAAACAGAATGCAAAGATTTGCAAATCTCCTAAACCTTTAATTTATTCACACAGCACACAGTGGTGGAGTTCTGGGAGATCGATGCTGTCCCAAAATGATCTGCTCCACACTCCGGTTTGTCCCAGTCACACAAAAAGAAATTGGGAGACAGTTTTTTTTGTTTTTTTTACAAAGGTAAAACTCATATGTCAGCTTTTTATTATATTTTGTGGAATGAATTAAGCAGAGTGTTGACTGTTTAATCTAACAGATTTTACTGGAGCTGCTTCCCTGAGCCTGTGATTCACACCAAGAGCTTTGTTTCCATCGCTCTCCCTTTTTAAAATCACCATGTCTGGCTCACATGCTAACAGGCTTGTAGCTTTTTTAGCCGGTTGTGTGTTTGGTCCTGGTCTGTCCATTTCCCCTCCTGTTTCATTCTCGGTCCATAAGAGGCTTTACTGTTTATCTGCTGCCTGCTCTGTGCTGCAGATAGGTGGCATGAAAGAGATCAGCTATTGCTTTGTTCTTTATTTTGTCTTAATGATGAGGCGGTGCCAGAAATAAAACAAGCCGACCTTCAGTTTGGATTTCAGGTGGATTTGAATGTCTCAGGAGGGAACTGTGAAAAACAAATCCCACATTTAGTGTCTGCTCTCTGTGTCGTTCAGTAATTTATTGATACGACCTTATTTCTTGTAATACCTCTGGCTGTGTTGTAATGCAGTAATGCACTGAGCAGCGATTTGTCACTTCTAAAATGTAAAGGTGATTTTCACTGAATATCTCATCATGGGGAGTTTGACTTCTGCTACTTGAACCAATACTAATGAACTTAAAATCAGTTTAGATTCATTTAAATATTAAAAAATAGTCTGATTTTTTAAAAACATATTCATTTCACTTTATTTGACTTTCCCATCTCTGTCACAGTTTCCTCTTCTGTACTCGAGTTTCTCTTGCAGAAGAAAAGTTGATCTCTGTGATTTAATAACTGGTTAAACTGCACACAGATTTTTTCCTGCATTCCTCTTTTTATCTCTTCAGGTGCGCCGGAGTTAATCGAGCTGCTGTTTGTGTGAGAGGATGGGAAACTGAAATAAAGTACACTCTCTACCAGCATCACAGCTTTCATATACACCAGGATGCAATTGTTCTCAGCCAAGGTTGAAATGCGATGAGCTGCATTTTCCAACAAATATGAGTCACCGAGGCTCGCTGTTTTCATAACTGCAATTCAGTCAGACAACTCATGTTTGAAATGACTTATTACTGTAGCAGAGTACGTTTGCTTTGGCATCTATAAGCTCTCAGCCTATCACATCCTACAAACACGTCGTATAGAAAGTCGGGAGTGATGAGTAAATTATCCTGTACAGGTGGATGTTGGGATGGTGGAGGGAATGAAACGGCAGCAGCAGCACTCAATTGGGGGGGGGAGAGAGAGAGAGAGAGCAGCAGTGCAGCTCGAGCTGACTGCAGTCTGTAGCTCCTGAGTTTTGCTTCATTTCAATAACATCCATTTCTTTTTCTTGTGTGACTCACTGGTGACATGAAGCTTGCTAAATAGTGGTAAATGTGATGTTTTAGATATTGGGAAAATATCTTCAAAGTATTTTACAGAGAAACTTCACTGAACTCATCAGAATGAACATTTTAGGAGCATTGATGCTAATGAGTCATTTCACTCATTCTTACTATTGATAAGCAGAGATAAGTGAGATTTCCATGAGAGCGTGTCATAAGTTAACAGTTATGTTATATCTATATAATCCTTCCTTACGGCAGACCAGTCTAGAGTGGGCTGTTGTGTGGTGCTTGATATACGACCGGGCACTGCGCTGTATTTCTGTGATGTCAGTCCCATGATGATCCCCAGCAGCTGATAAATGAAGCAGAAGGACCGTTCTTCTCTCTGCTGCAGATCTGGCTGTTAAACCACAGAGTGAGGTTTTAAAATCTCAGGTTTTCTTCACAGTGACTGTGTCGCAGTGCTCCGAGGATCCTATCGGTTTGTGGTTCCCCTTAAATAAGTC